TGTGCGAGTGATATGTAAGTGTGCAGGAGGATTAGCTTGTGTATGTTGACCTGATCGGACCTGTCGGTTTTCACATGTACATTATTCTGTGCAGCTTGTTTGTAGTTGTGATTACACATTGGAGAATTTTCCAGCGTTAGCTAGTTGGACCTGTGTTACAACCTTGTGGTTTTGTGATTTAGATTTTACAAATATATTCCATTCCCATTCAGCAAGTGGTTGTAACATGTTAGGGGCGGGCTACTTTGCTTTTGTAATCTATTGTTTAGGCTACACGATATCGATGTAGGGAAATGAAAATGGGTTTCATGCAGTGACTCTCACATCATAATGGATGGAAGCTAATGCTGCAGCTGCTCGAAGACTTTTTGGTCGTCCACGTGTTTCTCTAACCAGCTGGTAAGGTTTTTGTAAGTTTTAGTGATCGTTTACATTTTTATAATTCTAAAAACAGAGATTGGGTATTTGTCAGGCATTGTAGTGGAGGACTTACTGTCATGTAGACATGCTAGTCTAATAGAATAATACACTAGTTTGAAGGAAAAAAAAACACAAATGAGCTAAAAAATAAAAATAAATACAATACTAAATAAATTGCATTTTTTATTTTAGTTTGTTTTTCAGGACAGAAATGTGAAGTTTTTTACTTCACATTTCTGTCAGTTCACTTAAAAGTTTCCACACTCCTGCTGCCCGCCTTTATGTTTAGTTTAGTTAAATTTAATACACTTAGTGATTTCCAGGAAAAGAAGATGTTTACACCAACTAGCAACTCAGCAGGAGCAACTCGGTAATCTGTAACACCTCTCATTACAGATTACAGTAAGAAAAAAGCAGGATTTTATGACTCCATAATCGCCTAATCTTACACAAACACTAACGCAACAAACAGAAAATCATGTAGTTTGAGCCGGGCATTACATAATTTACTAACCCTGAATTAGCCCCAACCACAAATGCTTGATTAGTTTGTTTGTTTGTGCAGCAGCAGAGAGCAGATCTAATCAAAACTGAAAATGATCAAAAATGAACCACCAGAAGAGGATGCAGCGTTTCACTGGCTCTCATCTCTGTATTGATTTGTGTATGTGCAAGTCATTTTTCCTGTCTTGCTCTCAAACACAAGAGGTGAAAATCCCATTTCTCTCCTGACTGGCATGAGGATTCAGGAGGATTTTTTTCTTGTTGTTTTAAAAACTTTCAGTTGTTATTATGTTCTTGATTTCATTTGAAATCTTAGATTTTACTTTAGATTTGGTTTCCAGAGAGAGATTTTGTTGTTAGCGATAGATGAATTTGTCAGATGCAAGATGCTATAAATTAAGAATCAGCATTAATTATACATGTGTGTATTGACATATACACATCTCAGTAAATTTATATACCAGTGCTTCTGCATACTGCATGTCTTTTGTAAGTGCCCAGTATTGTTTCAGTTATTTTTTCCATTTTTCTATTCTAGTTTCTATTTCTATTTGTATTTTAACTGAAATGTGTCTCCCCACCCAGTTTTAGTCGTCAGTGACAATAACATGGTTTCTGGCCAAGTTCTACACTAATATTCAGTAGCAAGCTGACCTGCACATGAGCTTAATGGCTCTGCAGCTTGTTATGTATGACAGTTATCAGATGACAGCTTCTGTGGGTTTCAATGCCTTTGCAAAGCAGATGAAACAAACCTATTTTTTTCTGCACTGTGACAGTATATGCAACCTGGTGGTGTATCTTCGTGTCATCACTTTGTTCCCCCACTTATGTTTGTGATAAGGAAACAACTTGTTAAAGCCTGACAACCTTGCAAACACTCAGTGACCTGACAGGCTAGAAAATGTGTGTTTTGTTTGAATGAGCAGGTGTGTCATTAGGGTTTAAGGTCAAAATGCTTACCTTCGAACTGAGCTGGGTGTGGTTGTATAGTCAACAAACAGAAGGTGTATGTTGTTTGTGAAACTCCACCCAAAATATGTGGGTTGTGCAGTTTTGTTTTATTTCCATTTCACATTCATGAATGAGGGCCTTTTATTAAGTAACAAACATTAATGTTCTGACTAATGTTGCTGATTATATCCATGCTGATAAGACGGTCATAAAGCTTCTGAAAAATACTGCTATTAATAGGAAATTGATAAGAAACTGAGCTATGAATTGCACACTGAAGCTCTGCCCATGTACATCAAAACACACTAAAAGCACAACATGGTAACTCATTTGGTTTCTTTAATGCACATCTGAATAATGAATGTAAACGTAGATATTCGATCTTTTTTAATTAAATAGTCGCACATTTCATCCTCTTATTGCCTCTGTAATTAAGTAATCTCATTATCCATAATTAACACATTCCATCACAGTGACATCATCAACAATTTCTTTAATAACTTAGAACAAACAAGCATTCATTTTATTACCGCGTTCTTATGTTGCGACTAATGACTCAAAAATAGTTACTGAAAACATGAAACCGACTTACGGGATTGTTAAATTATCTGGGAGAGGCCAGTGCCGTGTGAAACTGTGGCGGACATTAATATAAAGCGTGTAAATACAAAAAAAAGAAAAACACGAGCTTTTTCTTATTAATATTTTCCAGTTAACAAAAAGACCAAAAAAAAAAAAAAAAAAAAAAAACGAGAGATGGGGCATAAAACAAACTCATCCAGCTCCTCTTTTTTACTTGTAAAAGTGCAGCAATCATTAATAAACGTTGACACAGATGTTGACACAGATAAATCTGTAAACTCTTTACGGCAATTATTTACAATTTATTCAAATCAACTTTGCAAACATGTTAATGTAATTTTGTTTATTTGTGTAGAATGACCCGATATTCTACTTTGTGAAGGACTGCACAGCATCTTTATGCGCCACGTTATTCTTTTTCATTAGCTCTGTAATATTCAACGCTGCAGAACAGAAAGTTTTCTCAAATCTGCCACTGATCAGTGGCTGTGACGAAAGCGGGGAAGGCCCCGTCCCCTTAGGGGGATGTCGATCAAACTGTGCGCACACGGGTTCAAGCTCAGGCTAAGCTGTCACTGTGAACGCTGGCGTTGCTCTAAACGGGAAGAATTTGGAGTCAACCCAAAGTTGAACATTACGCAGGACGTGGTGAAAACCATCACACAGACTGGGAAAATGTTTATTTAATATGAATTATCTGGTTTTATTCCATCCATCCACTCTTAATATTTATTTTGGATATTTTTTATTGAAATAGAGAGTACCCCTGGATTAAGGGTAAGGAGCAGTAACTAATAGATTTAGGTAAAAAAAATGAATTTTTAATTAAGTATATAGATGAGCTGCAGTCTATTATTAGCCTGGTAAATGCTGAACCATGAAATAGCTGCCGAACTCATGTATGAAATATGATACATTTGGCGTTACAGGATTAGGTTGTAAAGGGGAATACGTGAGTGGAAGCAGATATCTGGCATGAGAACAGCAAAATGTCAGTCAAAAAACTTGACTTTTACAATTTAAATGACCCAACTGGAAATCTGCACCGTGTGCAGTTGTCATAGCACAACAGCTTACACTGAGACTGCACCTCTTCTTCTTCAATCATTAATATGTCTAGTAAACTTTTCTTATTTCCTGTATTGTGGCCTGTAAAAAGTAATGCCATTGTAGTAGATTTTAAAGTATCACATTGCAGATATTGCACTGCAAACGTGAGCAGGGATAGCTCAGTAGGTAGAGTGGTGGCCCCATGATCGTAAGGTCGGGGGTTCGACTCCACTGAATGGCTACCCTGAGGTACCCCTGAGCAAGGTACCGTCCCTACACACTGCTCCCCGGGCGCTGCACTGGTGGCTGCCCACTGGGTGAATGGGTTAAATGCAGAGGAACTATTTCCCTATGGGGACTAACACGCACACTTTACTTTACTTTACATGTCGAGAAAGAAAAACGTCTTTGATCCTTGTGAGCTCTCGCTCGTACCGCCACGCTGATGTGGAGTGAGTCTCCCTGTGCAGTGTATTTTGTTTCAGGTTGGGAAAATTTGCATTATGTAAAGTCATACTGAGATGGCCATCAGCAATTCCTGTTTGAACAACAATCTCTGTCTTACATTTGATACCGAGCAAACCATGTTAGGATTATTATAAAGACTTCAAAGCAAATTTCTGAAGAGGAAAGCATCACGAATTTTTTTTAGCATTTTTACACAATAAACATTTAACTGTCTCTGACTTGGGAGTCCAGATGCCATCGAATGTAAATGAGGTCTATACTTTGATTAGACGTTCAGTTGGTAATTTCTCTAAGTGAACCAGGTGCCAATTATTGCACAGCGAGCCAGCTGAAGCTCCCACTGTTATATTAAGCATTCACCAGAGCTTTGAAATTGTTCTGTCTGTCCTCCTCAGTCTGAGAACCACTGACCCAAGCATCATCCTGCAACACCTGTACCAAAAACCACCACTCAGAAAATGCTTAACCCCGGCAGTAATGGTAGTACTTCTCTAACAGGGTCTGTGTGTGTGTGTGTGTGCACGCGCTCGTCCATCAAAGAGCGCTAAACTGCGAAAAATGGAGGACAGCCTTTGATGTGCACTTACATAATCTGTAGCGATGGGCTGGAGAGTCAGAGTTTGGCCAGACACACATTTTCACACTCTGACCCAGTGGATATCCTCCATCTCATTGTCTCCTGCTTGATGCTGATTGGCTCTCAGAGCTGCATTGCATTTACAGTGACCTCTGGCTCTTCATCTCTTCATCTAGTTTTTCCTAAACTCTTGATTATGGCATCTAATCTTTTCCTGATTTGTAGTCTGTAATTAAATTTGCTGCCTGATATTGTTTTCACAGATGCTTCAGTTAATGAATTCAGAGGCCAACTGCTGTCTTCAACTGCTGTGTTTTATTTCACTGTATAGCTGTGCTTTTGCACACATAGTAAGGCTGAGAAGAAGAGAATATGTGAATAAATCAAGGCCTGTGGGCCAACTCAAACCCTTCAAAATGTTTATATGGCTCACATATAATTTCAGTGTTGACCAAATCTGATCCACCCCGTTGTAGCTGTGGTCTACACACACCAGTGTAACCGAGGGGGGTGAGTCTTCTTCCACTTTTTTTAATTATTTCTGCAGGAATTGGCCAGTTGGTGTGGCAGAGGAAATGGAAAGCGCTTTCTGATAGTAATGAGTAAATGTTAACTAAGGTGGAAAAATTGCCACTTGGGGTTCAGGATTTGCCCTTGGACCCTTTTTCAATGACACAGTGGCAGTTCTGTAGCATCAGATTCAGAATACTTCATGAATCCAAGAGGAAATTATGTAAATTATGAAATTACTATGATGGTACTACACCCACTGGCAAGCAGTAGTAAGCCTACCATACAATGAGGTATTTATTTTATATGGCACAGGTGTACTACGTGATCTTGACTAAATGTTATAAAGGCTAATAAATGTTTTTGTGTGGCCTGCTTCAGGGCTTTAATGTGAAGAACTAGCAGAAGACATACATTTTCAATGAAGGTAAACCTTGTCAACAGACCGTATCTGTCCAGCACTTGATTTCGTTCTCATTTCCCAGTGTGGTTGTTAGTAAAACTACATTTGACACCCTTGATTTTGAACTCAATCCACAGCTGTTTGCAAGGAAATAAACTATGACTCCCTCATAAATACAACAAAAGACAAAATGCTGCTTTTTCTGACCAGAGTGATAAACTCACAGCATATGGTTAGCAGATATTTACCAAATAACCACAAGTCTCACAGGAGCTGCGCAAACTGATAATAAGTTTATATCATAACGACCTCAGTGATTCAGGGGACTCCTTTAATAATCTAAGATGAGAAAATCTCTTCTCTAATTGGGCAAATTAGTCTCTCTGCTATTAATTAGAAAGATTACTTCAGGAGTCCCTTTAATTTATTTATTTCTTTATTTTTTTATGTGTGCTGCTTCTGATGCTGGGCTGGTACGTCTTTAGACAGTTTCCACTCTGGTTCTGGTTTCTAAACAACTGTTTTCCTGTTTTCTATTTTCTCTGCAGAGTAAAACCAGCAGAACATGTTTACTCCACTGTTTCCATAGTTACTGAGAGGAGCATGCACGTCCAGAGAAGGCTTTAACGTCACAGTTTGTCTCCTCCGACTGCCATCTAAAAGAACTACACTACCCACAATTCCTGTGACTAATAACATAGCCAACGTTTCGATCACTACAAACAAAGACAGTCAGAAGAACGACACTGCTGTGAAGAGGACCACCATGGCAAACAACCCTGCAGACCACCCTCCGGGGAATTCGGTTGCTGAGGGCAACCATGAAGGGGACTTTGGGGTGAGCATGGTGGACTTGAGGACCGTGATGGAGCTGCGGAGCACTGAGGCCGTCAACAAGATACGGGACACTTACGGAGATGTGCAGGGCATCTGCCGCCGCCTGAAAACATCCCCTATAGAAGGTAAGACCGGTTCAATACACACAACCAAACCATTTAAGTCAGTGGATCTGAAACAGTTCACAACCTACAATTTTTATTAGTCTGTGACAATAAAAACAAATGATCCAAGGTGAATTAGATTGGCAGTGGTCACCGTTATATCATCAATAAATACTTTTGGAAAGTTTTCCCTCCAGAAATCACATTTATTCTGCTTAACTGCTTAACTTCTGTCAACACGTGTTAGCTGGGATAGGCTCCAGCCCACCTCTTCATGACCCCATATATGGTGTTATGTACTAAAAAGTCTGGAAGTTTTTTGTTTATTGGAGCCTTGTGTACAGTCAAGAAAGTTTGCTTTTGGTACCTTAGAATGATCTAAACAGTTTTAATGAAGATACTTTTTTATTTCAAACAATGTCAACAATCATGGGTGATAGTGTTTCGAAAGGTTGGCTCTGGATCTGAACAACAGGTAGTTAAAGCCAGAAGGTTGTACCATTTTAATTGACTATACGAGATTATTTAGTATGCTTAAAAAAAAAAAAAGAAGAAGCAATAACTGTCACGGCTGGCGGAGTGAGCCGTGTGGAGTGGAGGAAAAGGAGGACCCAAAATGCAGCAAACTGATGATATGAGTGAAGTTTATTTACACGGTGGCAGTGGCAAAAACAGGCAATGAAGCATGAGTAATGACAAACCTAAACTGGGAGAAACTAAAGAGCAAACCTGAAATCTTACAAAACGGAGAGCGGAGCAGAGAGACGCAGACCAAGGACCAGGATACCAAGAAACACAGACGAGCCGACAACGAACACAGACCGACACCCACTATATATACACACACACACACACACACACAAGGTAATCGGGTAATCGCACACAGGAGGGAAGAACAGCTGATCTGAATACACATGATGACTGGAGGACACAAGCTGAACACAATGACAACAGACACAGACTTTCAGAACAAAACAGGAAATCTAGAACCCGAACCGGACACAAGGGGGGAGGACACAGAATAACTAGAACAGAGGGAAATAATCACAAAACACAAAACGCTGGGTCAACGACCCAGGACCATGACAGTACCCCCCTCCAAGGGCTGGCTCCAGACAGCCCAAAACAAAAACAGACGACCAACCCAGGGCGGGCGGCGGGGGCCCAGGACGGAGGGACCAACACAAGCTCCAGCGAACCGAGAGAATTGTCCAAAACAAAAACACACATGCTGGAGCACGAGAACAAAACACAGTTCAGGAGGCCGGCCCGGAGGCTGACAACTCAGAAGTCCAGGACAGTTCATCTTCTGAGGCCGGCCACGTCGGCGACGTAGATCCATAAGCCGACCGAGCGGAAGGCAGCGGTGGCGGAGTGGAGGCAGTTCAGGGGGCCGACCGTGCACACGGCAGCGGCGGCGACGGGGAAACCGTTCAGGCGGCCAACCGTGCGGACAGCAACGGCGGCGACGAGGAAACCGTTCAGGCGGCCGACCGTGCGGACAGCAATGGCGACGATGACACAAGTCTGGAGGCCGACCGCGCAGAAGGCAGTGGCGGCGTCTAGGAGGTCGTCCATATTGACGATGACGCTCCACCAGCGGCCTGGTAGATGACCGCCGATGTCGAGGCGGCAGTTCGGGACCCGAAGGTGGCGTGGCCGTCGCAGCACCAGACGAGACCGAAGCAGCGGCTGGTCCAGGCGCGGCTGAAGCTGAAGCAGAGGCCGGACCAGGCGAGGCTGAAGCAGAGGCCGGACCAGGCGAGGCTGAAGCAGAGGCCGGGCCAGGCGAGGCAGATGACGATGCTGAAGCAGAGGCCGGGCCAGGCGAGGCAGATGACGATGCTGCAGCCGGGCCAGGCGAGGCAGATGACGATGCTGCAGCGGGGCCAGGCGAGGCAGATGATGATGCTGCACCGGGCGAGGATGAAGGCTCGGAGGCTGCAGCTGGCGAGGATGATGAGGCTGCAGCAGGCGACGGCGTGGAAGCCGGAGACTGTAGCGCTGCAGGCGTGGAAGAAGCTGCTGCTGCCCGTGGCGTAGATGAAGCTGCAGCTGGCGAGGATGATGAGGCTGCAGTTGGCAGCTGGACGGGCTCCTCGGGCCCTCCAGCTGACGAGGCATGAGGCTGGCTAGGTTCTCCTGAACCTCCAGCTGACGAGTCTTGAGGCTGGACGGGCTCCTCGGGCCCCCCAGCTGACGAGTCTTGAGGCTGGACGGGCTCCTCGGGCCCCCCAGCTGACGAGTCTTGAGGCTGGCTAGGTTCTCCTGAACCTCCAGCCGATGAGTCTTGAGGCTGGACGGGCTCCTCGGGCCATCCAGCTGGCGAGACAGGAAGCTGGGCGGGCTTCTCGGGCCCCCCAGCTGACGAGGCAGGAGGCTGGACGGGCTCCTCGGGCCCCCCAGCAGGCGAAGCAGGAGGCTGGACGGGCTCCTTGGGCCCCCCAGCGAAAACAGTCTCTGGACCAGTGGGCACCGGGGCCCCTGGAACACACAGGTCAGAACCAGTAGGCGCACGGGCCTCTGGCAGGCACAGTTCAGAACCAGCAGGCGCACGGGCCTCTGGCAGGCACGGGTCAGAACCAGCAGGCGCACGGGCCTCTGGCAGGTACGGGTCAGAACCAGCAGGCACACGGGCCTCTGGCAAACACAAGGCAGACTGCAGCTGCACAGAGCATTGACCCAGCTCGGGCAGCGACAGCCGGATACAGTCCTCAGCTGGCTTCTTAATCTCCAGGGGTCCAGAGTCGGCCGGGGGCTGGGACCCAGCCTCTGGGGAGGCCCTGGAGTGTGTCACAGTCTCTGGGCTGGCCAGCTTTTGAGGACTGATTACAATATTATGTGGTGTGTCTCTCTGCTTGACATGAACAGGTGAAAAATAGTTCTTTCCGGGTTGGATGGACTTAACTTCTTGTGCAGGAGGAGTTGGTGACAACGATGGCTGAATAGGTGATAATAAGGCGGATGAGTCTCTTGTCAACTGAGCTATTGACTGAGCTATGGATTGTAACCAAGTGTCTAATAGGTCTGGCTGTGACTGTAATGGGGGTGACGGTTGAGTGGCTAACTGAGCTAGTGGCTGCTGGGCAGCTAACTGAGCTACCGGCAGGGCAGCCGACTCAAAAAACACAGCCCCGGAATAAACAGACACACAGTCCAAAACAGAAAAAGGGTCCTTTTCACTCACCACAGCTGGCAGTTCCAAAGTCCTAGTCTTCGGCTGTGGGGTGATGCGCCGACGGCGCGATCGTCGCTTCCTCCCGGGCAAAACCTCCGGCGGGCCGGGCAAAACCTCCGGCGGGCCGGGCAAAACCTCCGGCGGGCCGGGCAAAATCTTCGCCGCCGGGCTAAGTTGGGAAGCGGTAGCGGCTGGTGGGTGAAGGTGCAGTTCGTTGAGTATGAAGTCCTGTGAAGAGAGTCCAGCAGCCAGGAGTGAGCAGAGATGAGCTGCTGTAGCCTGGCTTCTACAGCGCGGAGACACTCTTCCCCCTCATGCTCGAGCCATAGGTTAACCAACCTGGAAACAGAGTCAATTAGTTCCTCCCGAAGCTCCTCGGGAGGTGCGGATGCCGCTGGGTCCATGTTTGGTCGGCTCGTACTGTCACGGCTGGCGGAGTGAGCCGTGTGGAGTGGAGGAAAAGGAGGACCCAAAATGCAGCAAACTGATGATACGAGTGAAGTTTATTTACACGGTGGCAGTGGCAAAAACAGGCAATGAAGCATGAGTAATGACAAACCTAAACTGGGAGAAACTAAAGAGCAAACCTGAAATCTTACAAAACGGAGAGCGGCGCAGAGAGACGCAGACCAAGGACCAGGATACCAAGAAACACAGACGAGCCGACAACGAACACAGACCGACACCCACTATATATACACACACACACACACACACACACAAGGTAATCGGGTAATCGCACACAGGAGGGAAGAACAGCTGATCTGAATACACATGATGACTGGAGGACACAAGCTGAACACAATGACAACAGACACAGACTTTCAGAACAAAACAGGAAATCTAGAACCCAAACCGGACACAAGGGGGGAGGACACAGAATAACTAGAACAGAGGGAAATAATCACAAAACACAAAACGCTGGGTCAACGACCCAGGACCATGACAATAACTACACTTACACCAGATTAATCACACCCAGAGTATTACGCAACTACGCTTCACGTGGTCTGATGAATGACACACCCAGGCCCAGTACATTTCTGCTCTTATGTTTACCTTGAGATTTGGCAGCACACAGCTGAACCTGCTGTAAGCATGAGCACATGAGCCAACACAACCAGCTCATGTACTTGTTCCTTGTTGGAGTGTTGTGGAATCGCCCTTTAAAGGTGGGGACGGGGCAACCTCCATCTTTGACATTCCTAACAGCATTTAAGTCAGACAACACAAATTCTGGGATTTTAGGAGCCCTAAAAACAAAGACTTGGAAACTGCTTACTCTGTTAAATTGAAAAAACGCAGGGATTGTGTTTCAGTCTGGGCAGGTGGCAGTGGAGATCTGTACCATACACGCTTGTTCTTCAAAAAGGGCTTCTTGTCCTTGCCTTTCACAGTAAAAATCCTGGAAATACACAGTATGTGGCTGTCTTAATACACCATATTTTTCTGCTAAGCAACTGAAAGACATGGGTCACATCTTCCTATCAGATAAACCGAAAAAGAAAAAATGTTGATTTTGTAATGCATGTACAAAAATGACGATAAAACCTTTAATTAGTAGCATTAAATAGATGGAAAAACATACATTTAAGAAATTATTTATTAATTTACAGGAGGAATAAAATCTTAATCTGTAGCTACTATTTTCATGACATTATGCACACTAAACATTTTTTATTAGTACACATTTATAAAGAGTGATTCTAATTGTGAACATAAAAATTGTACTTCAGTTCAAGCTTTTCTTCATAAATCTCTGCATTTAAGAAACACAAAGAAAGAAGCAAGCTATTGCAACAGAAGAAACCAACTTTAACAGTAGTGCACTAATTAACAGCGG